AGATGGCATCCCGAAGACCTAATCATGGAGGCGTGCACAATGACCCAACCTTAAGGCACGAAACACCAACCCTTCAAAGCTTTGAAAGGATGACAAATGCAAGTATATGAGCATGAAACATGGACTGAAATAACATATCAAATGATGCCAAATCATGAAAAAATGTCCAAGTAGTGCATGCTAATGACTTAGACATTCAAAGCTAGTAAGCGAGGATGTATGGTAGCTATACAAAGCAATGCATATATGATCAAAATAACACCAAGCAGAGCTTTAACATGCGGAAATGTGACCTAAAGTTCCTTTGCGTTGAGCCAAAATATGCAAGTGTGATAGTCCAAATGTTAGATGCATGCTAAGGCAATAGAGGGGATTTATAAGGAAAGTATATGGTGCGTGCAAGAAGCCACTAAACCAACCTTAGACAGAGGTATAGCATGAAAAAATAACACCAAATACTTGCTGAAATGAAGCCAAACCATGCTAAGCAAACATGCTACCATTACAAGCCATCAAAGCAAGCCAATGAGACACAAACAGAGAGGGGTGTCCCTCTCCTATACAAGACTCTAAAACCACCTTTCCACCACTGAAAATCCTCTAGATTTCAATGGTAGAAAGGTCAAATCAAAGGAAGAACAAAGGCCAAAAGAGGTGGCTTCAAACAAGGCCAAACAAGGCCTAAGAGGGGTTAGACAACCCCTAACCCAAAAGTGACCTTAAACAATCATCTAAAGCATACAAAATTAGAACTTTTTTCTGTTTATAGTTAAGCTTAAAACAATTTGCAAATAAGTCTAAAAGCTTAAGCCAAAAATGGGGAAACAAAAGGTTAGTTGCTCACCCTTGAAGAATACCTTCAAGAACACAACTCCAACCACTCCCTTGGATCAAAACCAGGCCAAGAACTCTGAAACCAACTTCCTAGTGCCTCAGCAACCAAAGGAAGGTGCTCTAATGCAAAAGTATGAACAAAAACACACTTTAGGTCACAAACACACACAAAAATATATAGAGAGAGATATAGAGATAGAGGGATATATGAACTCTATATCTATTTTGCTGAACCTCTGGAAAGGGAGGGGAGGCTCCCTTCTTATAGAAATCCAATTCTCAAGCTTGTTGAACAAGCTTGAGTCTTGGGGCAAATCCCTCCATACACGTGTATGGAGGATCAAAATTGTGCATACCAGCTATCATAGCTCGCACAAAATATCTATAAAAAGCAGATGGAAAGGGCTCGGCCAGAAAATATGGCCGATCGACCAACATAAGTGCCAACCGACCAACAAAAGTGCCGAACAGCCAACACTTTTGGCCGATGGAAAGAAAACAAGGTCGATGGCTTCAAGCCTTGGCCGGTGGGTTGAGGGGATGGCAAACAAGCCACCCTCTTCCCTCAGAAGCAAAACCACAAGTCCTTGGTCCACAACCAAGCACAAAACAGACAAGTTGAGAGATCTTAAGGCAAGGCGGGCAGCCGAGACCTTTGGGAACTCAAAACGAACATGAGCATGGATGATCATCGAGTGTTCAAACGATGACGTCCAAGTCCTGAGGATGGTCAAAAATGGGGTGTCTACAACTGTCTACCGATCAAGGATGGATTCTTGCCGTACAAACAGCCACCCAATATGATGTCTAATGAGGTAACTTTACTAGTCGAAGATGAGTTAGAGCGCTTACTTAAAGTTGGATTTATCAGAACTGCAAGATACGTAGTGTGGTTATCTAACATAGTGCATGTAGTCAATAAGAATAGAAAGATTAGAGTTTGTATAGACTTCAGGAACTTAAACCTGGCCACCCTTACAGATGAATACCCTATGCTTGTAGTAGACTCATTAGTTAATTGTGATGCTAAGCACAAGGTTCTATCTTTTATGGATGGTCACTCATGACACAATTAGATTTTCATAGTAGAAGAGGACACATCCAAAATAGCTTTCCACTGTCCTGGTGCATTGGGAACATATGAATGCGTTATAATGTCTTTCGACCTTAAAAATGCTGGAGCTACTTACCAGCGTGGCATGAATTCCTTATTTCATGACATGATCGGCCGATTCATGGAGATATACATTGATGACGTTGTGGTAACCCTATCCCGTGTTATGCTAATTGATTTTAATTATGATTGTGATTATATGTTTGATATGATTGTGAGTGATAATTATAAGATTATATGTGTTTTTGAATTTCTATCTGTTTACCGTAGGAAAATCTGTTTGCTTTCCTGCTTTTGAATTTTTAATTAAAGGAGTAGAGACGTCAAAAACTGAAATTGACTATGCCATTGTGATTAGCGTAATTTTAAGAGCCTACGGCAAAATTTAATTGAAAATTGATTTGGATCAAAGTAATTAGATTCAGAATGATTAAATTAGAGCACCATTAATCAAATTGATTAGCCAACCCTATAAATAGGCCTATATACACTCAATCCATTCCTTTGAGCTTATCTTAGCTAAAATTACACTCTAGAGAGAGAGAGTGTGCCAATTGTAGGGAGAGAGAGACCTCAAATTAGGATAGGCTCAAGAACTAGCTAGAATTTGGGAGATTGGAGCTCCTAGGTGAGTAATTGAGCATAGATTCATAAGTTTGAGTTTGTAATTTTGTGAAATCAAGGATAGATGTAATCAAGAACATAAATTGAGTTGAATTTGGTAAATTTGAAGCTTGTATGTACATGCATGTAAAGGATTATCATGAGCTTGCATAATTGAGTGCAAACATGCATTATATGAAGAATTGAAGGCTATTTGGCACATGCAAACATGATAATGTTGAGTTTGATGAAGATGAGCATCAATTGTGTTATTTAAATTGAAAATGAAGCCTATATTTCACATGCATGTAAAATTCAAAGTGATATGGAAATTAATTTGCATGAGTTTCGAAGATATGAAGTTGGTATGGGCTGTCAAGAAAAATGTCAAATAATTTGGGAATTTAATTGTGATTTTTGACAAATTAGGCTCAATTTTCTTATGTCCTCATATTGTATAAATATTTCCATGATTTTGTATCAAGAACATGAGCTTTAGACCATTTGAATGCTAAGTTTGGGCTTCAAATGCAGTTTTGGAAATTCCAGAATTTGGCATGTCTGCTCGAGCGGGAAAAACACCACTCGAGCGTAAAATGTTAGCTCCCAGAAGTTTTGTAGACATCGATACCCGCTCGAGCAGGGAGAGTTACGCTCGAATTCCAAGTCACATGTTTTGGCTCTCAGCTCGAGCACAAAATGAGGTAACCAGTACTTTTGCAGACAAAAGGGGTCCCCTCGAGCAGCCAAAGCTATGCTCGAGCGAAGAACCCTATTTTAGAAATTTTAAAATGTTGTTTTGTGTTTCATTTTCTGTTCTATCCCATTTTTAAGCACTCTTAGGCATGCATTGAGCTTTGTATATGACCTAAAAGGTAAAGAAAGAAGCCTAACAGAAATAAATGGATTAAAGAACGGATTGAATTGTTTGTGACCCAATATGTGTTATGAATTGTGTGGGGTCGAGCACAAGGACGAATCCACCGGGAGAGCACTGTGAGTAATATCTTAGTAAAGATATTTTGAAGTATGCTATTTATCTAATTGCTTACTCCTATTTGAGTTTCATAAGTTTGTTAATTTGAATTGTGGACAAATATTCGTGATGCCATATGATTGGATAAGGTCGTTGGATTATAATTATGATTATGATGTGGTTATGATCTTAAGTACGAATGCACATTTCATGAACAATTGGGCCAAAGGCCGTCTGACATGAATAATGGGCTCTAAAGGCCGTTTGACATGAATGATGGGCCAAAGGCCGTTTGACATGAATGATGGGCCAAAGGCCGTTTGATGGGAATGATTGGGGCCAAGGCCATTCGACAAGAGTGAATTGGGCCCGAGGCCATTTGACTTGAATGAATTGGGCCGAGGCCGTCTGTTAGGAACAAAGTGGGCCAAAGGTCGTTTGGTATGTTTGTACTTGAAGCTGTTAATGTACCAGATGGAAACGTGAACGGGCCCAAGGTCATTTGATATGTCCATTTAAAATTTCATTCATGTACCCTATTTATTTGATATTATTCACTGGGCTTTCGCTCACTCTCATTCATGTATATGTAGGTGAGCAAAGAGATGTTCAAACCTAGCCTTGGTGAAGTATGTGAGGAAAGTCAAGTTTTGAAGAGTCAGCCCAAATGTCTCATGCACGAGACTGTTTTGTTTCTTTTGGCTCCTTTTTTGTTACTTTGGTGAAAATATTAGATCACCGTGTACATAAGCTTTTGGTTTGACTAACCATGACTTGAATGATCCTGTTGCGTAAAAATTCTATGTTATTTCCCTTTTGGTGTGGGTTATTAATGAGGACATGTGAAATGTTTGACATGCCATGTAAGCACAGCTCTATGGACAAAATTTTTAAGTTTGCTTCTGTCTTGGCCCCCTTAACTCTGTTGAAATATGTTTAACCAGGTTTAAGGTTGTTGGTAATCCCTTGATTATTGGCCGGTTATGACTTTAATCCATAGGGGCGGGTTTAGGCCATGACAGAGTGGTATCAGAGCACGAGTTAATAACTCACACACTTGTCCAAATGAGCAATAAGCATCTAGAAAAGATCTAGGATGCATTCATGTGATAAGTATGAATCCGAAAGCATCAAGAACACGCCTAAATGCTTCAAAGTGAATGATTATGTGCTATATGTTTTGTGATTTACTTGCATTGTGAACTATTTGAATATGTGTGCTCTTTGGTATATGCATACTTGTGAATCTTTTGTATAAAGAATAATGCAAGTCTAATGAGATGGTGAGAACAAGAGGTGATGAAATAGAGTATTCTTCTACTGCCAGAATGGATAGGATGGAAAGACTGATTCAGGAGATGGCAACAACAACAGTAGCAACAACCACATCCTCTGCCTCCTCCTCCAGTACCACCTGTCCAAGACATTCAAAATGATGACAGAATAATCGCTCTCACCAAAGAGTTTAAGAAGATGAAATCACCACAGTTTCATGGAGGATTGGATCCACTAAAGGATGAAACATGGGTCCTCGGCATAGTGAAACTATTTGAGGTGTTTCGTTGTTTAGAAACACAGAAGGTACTTCTATCCACCTTTATGCTAGAAGATGACGCAAGAATGTGGTGGATGTTAATGCGTGAAAATAATAAGGATATTGGTTGGGCATGATTTTTGGAGATTTTCTATGGCAAATATTTTCCATAATGTGTCTGTGACAAGAAAGTATCGGAGTTCATGGAACTTAAACAAAACAGTATGACAGTAGTTGAGCATGAGGCTAAATTTACTGAATTGGCCAGATTTGCACCACATGTGGTCGACACCGACTACAAGAAAGCGAGGCATTTTGAAGGAGGGCTTCGAGATGACATCTTAGAGAAATTGAATGTACTTAAGCTGGAGACCTATATTGAGGTATTAGACCGAGCCATAATATCATAAGCTAATATAGCCAGGTAGTAAAAGACAGGGCTTCTTTTCAAAGAAGAAATTTTGAAAGAAACAGAATACGGGCTCCTCAAGTACTTCAAATTTTTCCCGAGATACATTCCCAATATGCAACCAATGTGGAAAAAGACACTGTGGGATTTGTTGCCGTATATCAGGGGCCTGTTTTAAGTGTGGTAAGACGGGACACATGGCTAGGGATTGTAATTAGAATAGTGGAAAGTTTGCTACTAGCTCAACTGCATCGATCCCAAAATTGGGAAATACTACGAGGCACCGGAGATACCGTGAGGCAAGGGAGAGTTTTCGTTCTAGTTTCGGGACGATACACGGAACACCGAAGTCGTCTTAGGTACTATCTCTATATGCAACCAGGATGCTTTTGTGTTAATTGACTCTGGATCAACACACTCATCCTTTCATAATTTGTGCATTTGCATCTAGACTGAGTAGACCCCTATAATCATTGACATATTTACTATGTGTATCTGCTCCATCTGGGGAATCTGTGTTGTGTACATCTGTATATCGATTTTGTGATATGCGTATTGGGAATGCTATTTTGTATGTAGATTTATTACCCTTGGGCTTTAGACATTTTGATGTAATTCTAGGCATGGATTGGTTAACTAAATATTGTGCCACCAATGATTGTGTAACAAAACTTGTTGTATTTAAACCACCAAAACAAGAAGAAATTGTGTTTATGGGTAATAGGGTAGTGCCTCCACCTTGATATCAGCAATGAAAGCATGTAAATTAATCAGGAAAGGGTGCCAGGGTTACTTGTGTTTTGTGCTATCTGAACAAATTGTGAATGTTGAATTGAGTAGTATCCCTATTGTTAGCGAATTTCCAAATGTGTTTCCAAATGAATTGTCAGGGCAATTAGTGGACAAGGAGATAGAGTTTACTATTGAAGTTGTGCTAGGCACTCAGCCCATTTCTAAAACTCTCTATAGAATGGCTACTACTGAAATGAAAGAATTGAAAAAACAATTACAAAACTTACTTGACAAAGGGTTTATTCGACCTAGTACTTCAGCATGGGGTGCACCGGTGTTATTTGTGAAGAAGAAAGACGGAACTTTATGCCTGTGTATTGACTATCGAGAACTGAATAAGGTGACAATAAAGAATAAATATCCCTTACTTCGTATTGGCGACTTGTTTGATCAGTTGCAGGGAACATAAGTGTTTTCTAAAATTGATTTGAGATCCAGGTATCACCAATTGAAGGTAAAGGCAGAAGATGCTGAGAAAACTACATTCAGAATGAGGTACGGTCATTATGAATTCCTTGTTATGCCATTTGGGGTGACTAATGCTCCTGCAGCATTTATGGACCTAATGAACCGCATTTCTAAGACTTGCCTTGATGATTTTGTTGTGGTTTTTATTGATGATATCTTGATATATTCAAAGAATAAACTTGAGCATGAACACCACTTGAGAACCGTCTTGCAAACACTTAAAGAAAAGAAATTATTTGCCAAACTAAAGAAATGTGAATTTTGGTTGGATGAAGTTATTTTCTTAGGGCATGCTACCAACAAGGAGGGGATTTCAGTGGACCCATAGAAAATAAGGCAATTGTGAATTGGCCTACACTGACGAATATAACAGAAGTCTGCAGTTTCATGGGCTTAGCTGAGCACTACAGAATGTTTGTGAAAGACTTTTCGAAAATAGTTGTACCACTTACCCAAATGACACGCAAAGGGCAACCGTTTGAATGGAATGATGAAAGAGAATCTGCCTTTCATGAACTTAAAATGAGACTGACCACTGCACCAGTGCTGACATTGCCCACAGGTACGGAAAACTTTGTAATTTTTAGTGATGCATCTTGTAAGGGTCTAGGTTGTGTGTTAATGCAGAATGGGCGAGATTTTGCTTATGTCTCCCGGCAATTGAGGCCACACGAGAAGAACTACCCAACGCATGTCTTAGAATTGGTCGCAGTTGTATTTGTTTTAAAAATCTGGCGGCATTATTTTTATGGGGCAAAATGCGAAGTCTACACGGATCACAAAAGTCTGAAGTACTTCTTTACACAGAAAGAGTTAAATATGCGACAGAGAAGGTGGCTTGAATTGATAAAAGATTATGATCTTCAGATTCAGTATCACCTCGGGAAAGCCAATACGGTTGCTGATGCCTTGAGCAGAAAATTGATAGGGAATTCAGCCTGTTTACTTATTGAACATAAAGAAATTTTGCTAGATTTTGAGAAAACTGAGATTGAAGTCGTGTTACACGAGCAAACTGGGTTAATCGCTGCCATTTCAGCTGAACCAACAATAATTACTGAAATTAAGCAAAGGCAAAAAGAGGACAAGTTCCTCAAGAAAGTGATTAATGAAGTTGAGGTAAGTCCAAAAGCCGAGTTCAGCATTGAAGGTGAAGTGTTGAGATTTCAAAATCGAATGTGTGTCCCAAATGTTCCAGAACTAAAGAAGAGGATTTTAGATGAAGCTCATAAATCAGTATTTGTTATGCATCCGGGTAATAACAAAATGTATTGGGACTTGAAGCAAAGCTATTGGTGGCCCAAAATAAAGAAAGAAATTGCGGAGTATGTGTCCAAGGGCCTTCAATGTCAGCAAGTTAAAGCTGAACATCAGAAACCGAGCGATCTACTTCAACCTCTCCCTATTCTGAAATGGAAGTGAGAGCATGTGACTATGGACTTTGTTGTCAGTCTACCTCGAACTCCTCGAGGTATGGATTCTATTTGGGTTGTAGTTGATAGATTGAGTAAATCTGCACATTTTCTGCCTATTAGAACTACATTTGATGCTTATAGACTGGCTACTATATATGTTGATGAAATTGTTCGCCTACATGGAGTTTTGGTATCCATCGCCTCGGATAGAGATCCGAAATTTGTGTCTAGATTGTGGAAAAGTTTGCCAAAAGCTATGGGAACAGAATTGAGATTCAGCACCGCGTTCCATCCACAAACAGACGGGCAATCAGAACAAACAATACTGACCATATAAGACATGCTAAGAATGTGTGCCTTGTATTTTCAAGGGAGTTGGGAAGATTATTTGCCACTAGCCGAGTTTGCATACAATAATAGCTTCCACTCTAACATCGGTATGGCACCATACGAGGCTTTGTATGGTAGAAAGTGTAGATCACCAATTTGTTGGACAGAGGTCAAAGATAGGGCCTTACTTGGGCCTGAAATTGTGCAAGACACTTCTGAGAAGATCAAAATTATTCAACAAAGGCTCAGGACAGCTCAGAGTCAACAAAAGAATTATGCAGACGATCAAAGAAGACCTCTTGATTATGAGGTTGGCGAGCATGTATTTGTTCGAGTGACTCTGATAAAAGGCCAACGGAGATTTGGAAAGAAAGGTAAATTGTCGCCTCGTAACATTGGGCCATTTCAAATTCTGGAAAGGCTTGGCCCAATTGCTTATCGAGTCGCCTTGCCACCGGGATTCGAACAAATAAACAATATATTCCATGTATCAATGTTGAAGGGTTATCTTCGAGATCTGTTTCATGTGATTGATTATCACCGGATAGCTCTTGATGAAAATATGGAATACGCAGAATGATCGGAACGAATCATTGACCGGCAAGTGAAGCAATTGAGAAATAAGTCCATTCCAATAGTGAAGGTGGAATGGAAGGAACACTATGGGAAGGACGTTACATGGGAAAAAGAGGATGAAATGCGACTATGCTATCCACATTTGTTTTCAGAAGAAGGTAAAATAAGTTTGGAGGACCAAACTTCCTAAAGGGGGGAAGATTGTGATAACCTTGTCCCGTGTTATGCTAATTGATCTTAATTATGATTGTGATTATATGTTTGATATGATTCTGAGTGATAATTACATGATTATATGTGTTTTTGAATTTCTATCTGTTTACCGTAGGAAAATCTATTTGATTTCCTACTTTTGAATTTTTTATTAAAGGTAAGAGAGATGTCAAAAACTGAAATTGACTACGCCATTGTGATTAGCGTAATTTTTAGACCTTATGGTGAAATTTAATTGAAAATTGATTCGGATCAAAGTAATTAGATTTAGAATGATTAAATTAGAGCACCATCACTTAGTCTTAATCAAATTGATTAACCAACCCTATAAATAGGCCTATATACACTCAATTCCTTCCTTTGATCTCATCTTAGCTAAAATTACACTATGGAGAGAGAGAGAGAGCGTGCCCTTTGTAGAGAGAGAGAGCTCAAATTAGAGATTTGAGCTAAGAGCTTGGGGATTTGGAGGCTAGGCTCAAGAACTAGCTAGAATTTGGGAGATTAGAGCTCCTAGGTGAGTAATTGAGCATAGATTCATAAGTTTGAATTTATAATTTTGTGAATGCAAGGTTAGATGGTAATCAAGAACATAAATTGAGTTGAATTTGATAAATTTGAAGCTTGTATGTACATGCATGTAAAGGATTATCATGAGCTTGCATAATTTAGTACAAACATGCATTATATGAAGAATTGAAGGCTATTTGGCACATGCAAACATGATAATGTTGAGCTTGATGAAGATGAGCATCAATTGTGTTATTTAAGTTGAAAATGAAGCCTATATTTCACATGCATGTAAAATTCAAAGTGATATGGAAATTAATTTGCATGAGTTTCGAAGATATGAAGTTGGTATGGGTTGTCAAGAAAAATGTGAAATAATTTGGCAATTTAATTGTGATTTTGGACAAATTAGACTCAATTTTCTTATGTCCTCAAATTGTACAAATATTTCCATGATTTTGTATCAAGAACATGAGCTTTAGACCCTTTGAATGCTCAAATGCAGTTCTAGAAATTCCAGAATTCGGCATGTCTGCTCAAGTGGAGAAAACATCGCTCGAGCGTAAAATGTTAGCTCCTAGAAGTTTTGTAGACATTGATAACTGCCCAAGCGGGAAGAGTTACGCTCGAGTGCCAAGTCCTATGTTTTAGCTCTCAGCTCGAGCATTTGAAATCACGCTCGAGCGCAAAATGAGGTAACTAGTACTTTTGCAGACAAAAGGGGTCCGCTTGAGCGGCCAAAGCTACGCTCGAGCAGAGAGCCCTGTTTCAGAAATTTTAAAAAGTTATTTTGCGCTTCATTTTCTGTTCTCTCCCATTTTTAGGCACTCTTAGGCATGCATTGCGCTTTGTATATGACCTAAAAGGTAAAGAAAGAAGCCTAACATAAATAAATAGATTAAAGAACGGATTGAATTGTTTGTGACCCAATATGTGTTATGAATTGTATAGGGTCGAGCATAAGGACGAATCCACCGGCAGAACACTATGAGTAATATCTTAGTAAAGATATTTTGAACTATGCTATTTGTCCAATTGCTTACTCCTATTTGAGTTTCATAAGTTTGTTAATTTGAATTGTGGACAAATATTTGTGATGCCATATGATTGGATAAGGCCGTTGGATTACAATTATGATTCTGATGTGATTATGATTTAAAGTACGAATGTGCATTTCATAAACGATTGGGCCAAAGGCCGTCTGACATGAATAATTAGGCCAAAGGCCGTTTGACATGAACGAATGGATCAAAGGCCGTCTGACATGAATGATGGGCCAAAGGCCATTTGACATGAATGATTGGGCCATAGGCCGTTTGATGGGAATGATTGGGCCAAAGGCCGTTTGACAAGAGTGAATTGGGCCCAAGGTCATTTGACATGAATGAATTGGGCACGAGGCCATTTGTTAGGAACAAAGTGGGTCAGAGGTCATTTGGTATGTTTGTGCTTGAAGCTATTAATGTTCCAGATGGAAACGTGGATGGGCCCAAGGCCGTTTGATACGTCCGTTTAAAATTTCATTGATGTACCCTCTTTAATTGATATTATTCACTAGGCTTTCGCTCACTCTCATTCATGTGCATGTAGGTGAGCAAAAGGATGTTCAAACCCATCCTCGGTGAAGTATGTGAGGAAAGTCAAGTTTTGAGGAGTCACCCTAAACGTCTCACGCACGAGACTTGTTTTGTTTCTTTTGCCTCCCTTTTTGTTACTTTGGTGAAATGTTAGATCACCGCGTACATAAGCTTTTGGTTTGGCTGACCATGACTTGAATGATCATGTTGTGTAAAAATTCTATGTTATTTCCCTTTTGATGGGGGTTATTAATGGGAACATGTGAAATGTTTGACGTGCTATGTAAGCACAGCTCTATGGACAAAATTTTTAAGTTTGCTTCCGTCTTTGTCCCCATAACTCTGTTGAAATATGTTTAACCAGGTTTGAGGCCGTTGGTAATCCCCTGGTTATTGGCCGGGTTTGGGTCATGACAGACGTGGTGGTGAAGTCTAATTCCTATGAGGAACACTTAGAAGACTTGAAGAAATCCTTTAAGAAGATGAAGGAATTCAACCTGAAAATGTATCATTTGAAATGTGCCTTCGTTATAACAGCAGGAAATTTCTTGAGATTTCTAGTTCATCAGAGAGGAATTGACATTGACAAAAATAAGACAAGAGCAATCCAGAAAGCCAAGCCTCCTAATTGCAAGAACAAACTGTAGAAACTTCATGGACAACTCAATTTTCTTAGGTGTTTCATTTCCAATCTAGCAAGAAAGGTTCAATTTTTTCTCAGTTGCTAAAGTTGAAAGATGAAGAACAATTCAGATGGGAGCCGTACCACTAACATGATTTTGAAGTCATCAAGAGGTACTTAGCATAGCTTCCTATCTTGAATCCTCATGTTAAGAATAAAGTTTTGAAGTTGTACATTTCTACTGGGGAGAAGTCCGTTGGGAGTTTGTTAGCACAGGATAGTAAGAGTGGGAAGAAACAAGCACTTTATTATCTCAGCTGACTCTTGACTCTAGTTGAACATAAATATAGTCCTATGGAAAAATTATTTCTTGCACTTTATTTTTTTGCAATAAAATTGAGGCACTACATGCTTCCTATTTTAGTTTACTTAATGTGCAAAACTTATTTGATTAAGTATTTACCTTCTCGACCCATAATGAGAGGCCAAATTAGTAAATGGGCCTTGGCCCTAATGGAATTTTCATTTTAATATATTCCTCAAAAGGCTGTAGAAAGGCCAAGCCTTAGTAGATTTCCTTGCCGATCATCCTTGCTAGCATATGATAATAAGAGTGGGAAGAAACAAGCAGATTATTATCTCAGCAGACTCTTGACTCCAGTTGAATGTGAATATAGTCCTATGGAGAAATTATTTCTTGTACTTTATTTTTCTACAATAAAATTAAGGCACTACATGCATCATATTTTAGTTTACTTAGTGTGCAATACTGATTTGATTAAGTATTTACTTTCAATGAGAGGCCAAATTGGTAAATAGGCCTTGGTCCTAATGGAATTTTCATTTTAATATATTCCTCAAAAGGCTGTAAAAAGGCCATGCCTTAGCAGATATCCTTACCAATCATCATTGTTTAGAAATCGGAGATGAATTTGGTTTTGGCCAGAGTTCCTATTTTTCTTGTTTCACCCCTTGGACTTTTCTATTTGATGGCTCTAAAACTGATTTAGTTTTTGAATGTGGGATCATAATCATTTTGTCACAAAGGCATGAAGACACAATTCTCTTTTTAGTTTGATTTTGAATGCTAAAATAATCAAGCCGAATACGAGGCTATGATAATCGACCTAGAAATATTGAGGAAATGAGAGCTTCAGCAATGGAAGTGATTGGAGATTCACGACTTCTCATCAATCACTTGAGGGGGGGGGACGGGCATTTATAAATGCCATAGTGAATATTTGGCTCCTTACTTTATGGAAGCTAAATAACTCCTTGAAGACTTTGATGATGCTTCACTCAAACACATTTCTAGAAGATTCAACTATGAAGCCAATGAAATGGCTCAAGTTGCAACCATAGTGAAGATTTCACAAGGTTTCTATCAAAGAACCATCACCATCCAGAAAAGATTGGTTCCTTCAATCAAGAGGAGAGAGCAACTCATCCTGGAAGTAAACATTACAGAGATTTTTGAGGTTCCAATAGCCCAATTCCTAAAAGATCCATAACTTCTTGCAGACAGAAAGACTAGAGGAGAGCAACACGTTATGTCTAGATGGAAGGAAAAGTTTACAAGAAGAGTCCAAAAGATGACCTACTCCTGTAGTGCCTTTCTAAAGAAGAGGCAATCAAAGTAATGGCTTAGGCGCATGAAGGGATTTGTGGGGCTCACCAAGTAGAAAGGAACATGAGATGACTAATTAGAAAGTATGAATACTATTAACCTACTAATCTTTCAAATTATATTAGATTTTCCCAAGGATGTCTACCTTGTCAAGTCTATGGTCCTATCCAGCATGCTCCAACAACTTCCATGAATTCCATAGCTAAACCATGGCCATTTAGAGATCGTTCTTTTGACATGATTGGCAAGATCTTTCCTCCTTCCTCTAAGGATCATTCCTTTATAGTTGTGGCTATGAATTACTTTACAAAATGGACTGAAGCCATTCCTATGAAATCAGTAAATCAGAGTGACATCATCAAGATGATCAAAGAAAGTATTATCCACAGATTCATCCTGCCTCAGCATATTGTGGCTAATAGAGGAACTATTTTCTTTGTTAAAGAAGTTTAGGCTTTTGCTAAAGAGTATGGTATAAAGCTTTCTCATTCAAGTCAACGGTTAGGAAGAATCAACAAACAAAGTTCTGAAAGGCATCATTGAAAGAATGATTGAGGATGAACTAAAGATTTGGCGTGAAGTCCTATTAGAGGCATTGTGGGCCTACAGAAATTCAAAGAGAACAGCAACAGGAATTACACAATTTATGATTACTTACAGGCATGATGCAGTCATATCTATGGAGGTTATTGTGAAATCCTTGAGAGTTGCATTTCAGAATGGTTTAACTCCTGCAGAGTACAATCAGGCTATGTTCATAGAACTTGAAGATCTTGATGAAGTGAGATTAGCAACTTTGGATCAACTTTTAAACAGAGAGTAGCTGTAACATTGCTTGAGGGGTACCAGCGCGCGTTAATAGTTCGGACCCTCGGTATCTTTGATCTAGTCTCACAAGTGCAATGTGAAACGTAGATGAGAGTCCAGATCTGGCAACTTTACTGACAATCTATTTTATTGCAAGACATTGTCAGAAATGGACTATGTCATTATATCTTAGAGTTGCCACCTAATGTTTTGGAAAAATTAGAAAACTCATGACTCGTGCCAAGGCCACTATTCATCGTAACCAAGGATGCTTAGCTCGGAACCTTAGGTATGAAGGAGGAAGGTCATTAATTGAGCACCTCCGCTCACTTGATCAAAAGATCGACATTTACTAACCATGATATGACTTTTATTAACTTCATATGTTCATATTCCGATTATTAATAATAAGTCCTAAAATTTACTATGTGAAGCAAAACAAATATAGACTATTTCATCTATATTGGAATAATTTGATTTCATTATTTCAAAGATGTTTTGAATAGTGTAATCATGAAGATCAATTTTATTCCAAATTAAATAACACAACCTTCAACCACTGGCATGCATAGAGTTATATCAAATAACCACACAGCCACATGGTAGGATGCTAAACATTGTAGAAAAAAACACGCCCAAGCGGAATGCTAAAACATAAAAACTTACATATTTACCAACGTCCTGCAAATAGGCACAGAAATGAAACTAGTAAACATGCATGATCCTAATGCAATTCATTCATGAAATGGAACTACATATCAGACATCTAATATATGGCATGTCAATCATCTCAAAACATGAGGTAGTGCACAAAATCACATAATAATCAATTAAACTCACAAATGCAAATTTAGCAAGGCATAAGACATGGATGCAAGGCATGGATATGATGACAAACATAATAACATGCGTATTTACAGAATGTGGAAACAAAAATAAAGAACGAGATAGAAAGAAGTAGGAATGGAGAATTATTACATCACTTGAATATTACAAATCCGAATAAGGGTAGAGATGAATAAAATATTACAACAAAATATATCCTCACAAACACTCTCTAATTAAAAATAAAAACAACAACTTCAGGTGGCCTTACAGACCGTCGTAGACTGTTCTATTTGACACTGGGAGGCTGCTGGGTTATGTCCAGGAGGAAACTAGCAGCCCAGCCAAAAGATGAGCAAGTTGGCAAATAAGGCCAGGCCAAAAACTCTATTTTGTTCAAACACCAGAAAAAAAATGAAAAATATGCAAGTGGCTCAACTAACCACTTCTAGTTAGTTCACAACAGGTTTATAACATGAAATTGAAACAAGAAAAGCAATACAAGAAAGTAAAACAAAATGGAAAGTGCGCAAAATTTACCTTTCAAGGAAGGATTTGATTTCTAAACTTCATTTTGATCATTCTCAAACTAAGGAAGTGTGTTCTCAATTCTTAGGTTGAAATTTTGAAATTCTAGTTAGAATAGTGTTTTTGGGTATTTAACAGTGCGTGTAGAGGAGGAAGGGGAGAGTTATAACTCTCGAATTTCCTATTTTTTAAGGAACACTCACTCCTTTTTTTTATCAAGGCTCTTTGATTATGACTATATCAGAATTTCTGGGCTTGGTTTGATATATGGAAAAATGGTATATCAGTGTGTATGGAAGTTTTGGCTCAAAAACATACACCTCTCTCTTTTCCTCTCTAACTCTCAATTCACTCTCTCAATTCAATTCCATCTTCCTTCATTCTGATCTTCTCAATCTCTATACGTAATTAGAGAGGGCTACTAAGCCAAGGAGGTAGAAGACAAGGTGGGAGACATGGATGTTGAGATGACAAGGGTGGTTGAAAATGGATGCCACCTTTTAGGAAGATGACAATCTCCCTTTTGACAATGGAGGCTAATGGAGGGTAATGGAGGGGTGAGTGTGTATCTCGTGCATGAATCTATTAAGAAACAGTTGGAATGGGCATGGCCCACATGCATTCAACAAGAATTCTATCGAAATTGCCCTACTCCTGTGAAAATTAGCCAGCCAGCCAATTTATTAGCTGCCCGGGCAAAAACCTTAGCATGGCCGGTGTAGAAACCCCATTTTTTACTGTCTTTTAAGACTTGGGCACCTCAAGTTGATCACTCGATGATGAAAAGTTACGTTATCCAACCGCTTAATGTCTTCAGCAAAAAGCTTCAGTTTTGTGCATCTAATCCCAACCTTACTCCCCATTTGACCAAAACTAGTTTAGACCTTAAAACCTTCTTTTTCAAAATATTTTTCCAATTGTTCTACGATGTTCCAAGGCTCGTATTTCATTTAAAATATTATACTTTTCGGTCAACCGAGCAAGGACAAAATGGAAATAAGTGCAATGGAGGTGAACTCATTGAAAAATAATTGAAAACATCATATTTATAGGTTTGGAGTTGAAGGAAATATGAGGGGTCGGAAGAAAACTAGTTGGGGGAAAAGTTAGGCATCAAACTGTTAAGAAAAAAAATGAGTAGCCTTAACTAAATTAAGCATATCTCTTTTTACACTTCGATGATGTGAGGCCACCATCATTGGAAAGTAGACTTCTGGGGCTTCAATTTGGACACAAGAATGACCTAAAACCAAGCTTGGATGATGGAGATATAGCCATTTGAAGTAAGGCATCAATCCGTTAAAAAAGAAATGAGTAACCTTCACTAAATTAGGTATATCTCTTTGTACACTTAGCATTTAGATGTGAGGCCACCGTCATTAGAAAGTAGACCTCTGGGGCTTCAATTAAACTCAAGCATCACTTGTAATCAAGTACAGATGAAGGAGATATGCCCGCTTGAAATCAGGCTTGAGAGCAGTTTTTTGTGACCGGCCGACCACTTTTTGTGGTTGGCCATACAAACCATTGGCCAGCCGGTCAGATGTCCCAACAAGCAGATATTTTGCTGCTAGCTGTCTTCCCATGTGCATGCCTTGCACCAGTTGTCTCTATACAGATATTTCTAACAGAGGCACCTGTTTTTCTATATATAGATGACCATCCTCTTGATTTTAGGTTAGAAAAAATTCTTCAGTGCTCAAAACTTGTGAAACACTCTCCCTCTTTATCTTGAAATATACATACACTCTATATACACTTCCTAAACCAAATTTTTGAGTCTCTTTGCTAAGGTTCTTGAGCTAAAATCTCAGCCCTTGAGAGTGAAAACCTTGTGGTTTGTGAACAAACGATCAACCTCTCTTCAAGAGGTATAACCTTAGCCATCCTTACACTACTTCTTTCTTCTCTTTCTTGTTGTTTTTGTACTATTTTTAAACTATTTTTATGGGCTGAAACTTGTGACTTGAAGTTACCAAAGGCGGAGGAGCTAACCACTCTTCTTTGAACCTTATTCTCTAAGCTTTTATCCTTGTGTTTCCCACTTCTTTCTCAACTTTTGGTCACTGATTTTTAGAGTTTTAAAAGGCTAAAATATGTGGTTTTGAGGTCCAAAAATTGGAGGGGTTAAACCCCTCCTTAGGCTTACTTACTAGCTTCATTTCTCTCTTATTTTAGCTCACTTTTTCTAGCTTTTCATACTAATTCCAGCATTGTTTTTGCTGTTTTGGGGACTGTTTTGATGTGTTTATTTAGTTATGCTTTGAATATTATACTTGCCTTGTTGTAAGTCATCATAAGCTTGAGTGGTTTAGGCCATAGACACCAACCTATTTGAGTTGATAGCGATTCTTTCATAGTTTTTATGTCTTGTCTCACACTTGTAATAATTATCTCTGCAACCTCCCTCCTTTCTTGGTTTTCTTGTTTTTTGATTAAGAGTTGTTTCAAACAATTGAGGTTGTTAAGGCATGCGAAAGAGACCTTCCATGCTTAATGGTTTAATCTCCTCGAAGGTTCATTACCATGCCATTACATCTCTCTCATGCCAAGAACAACTTCTTGTTTGACACTTCTCTTCATTAGTGGACATAAATCTCACTTTGGAACAAAATGATTAAATAATGGTAAGGTAATTAAAAAAGGCTAATAAAATTGGACTAAAAGTGGTAACAAGATAATAAAATCAAGTCCGGTTCAATCAGACATTAATTGAACCTATTGAGCCTTGAATCATTACATACTCCTAGTGATGTTAATGGTTCAAGGAGCAATGTCTACCACTTCCCTTGAGATAACTCCATGATAGGAAATGGTTGTTGTTGGTCTTTCATTTCATGTTATTGATCTTTAGTCCAATTAGTTCATAGATCATCATGTAATGACGATCATTGATGATTTATGGACCGATTCTACTCTTCCCTTTGTCAATTCCATGACAATGAGAGGTAGAAAGGACAAACACCTCCTGGAAACACTCTGTTTGTGCTCTGTTTTCATTTTGTTGCAACAGGGCAGAGCCTAAAAACAATAGCTGGCCGACCACCCTACCATCCAGCCGACCACTTTTCATGGTCAGCCAGCCACTTCATTTTACACAAGCAGTGCCATTTTCATGGCAGAACAGGGCAAAGGCTATGGTGAAAATAGATTACTTTTCTGACCGCGAGACAGAACAGAAACTGGCAATAAACAGAGAGTTTCCAGGAGGATATTCTTGTTCGTATGAATGCGACTCCACATCTTCTGTTCCTTAATTTAGTCCATTTAATAGTAGTGTGTTGTAATTAATT